GTAATAATAATAATAATAATAGTTGGGGAAGCTCATTCGTGAACTATAGTTCACGGGCTACTTGGCATGCTTCGCTTAGCATATTAGCAATCAAGGGACTCTTAACTTGACAAGTAAACTTATTAGCTAGCTAATGCACGTGATTCCTTTTAATAGTATAAAAGGAATCAATTCTTTTAAGCCTTAAAGAGCAGACAGAATTCAAATACTTTATCAACCGAATGTTTTGCAATTGCAAGTATTTTAACGACCGTTACGACCTTACGAATATATATTCTTAATCGCTTAAAAGCAATCTAATATTAATTAATAATTAAATTACTATTAAGTGATTAATCATAAAGAAGCTAAGACTTTATAGCGAAGATACTTTTTATTATAATACTTCTTTCTTTTTATAACGGAAAAGCGATTTTATATTAAGTCGCTTTTTATATTATCGATTTTCTTTATTCTTACGGAAAAGTGATTCCGAACCAAGTCACTTTTATACAACCTTTAAAGCTATAAAGCCGCGCTTGCTATATATAGCAAACTTAATTAATACGATCGATCTACGTACGAGCAGATAATTATTATAGCCGATTAAGCAATTGGACTTCCAAGTAAAGAGTCTAGCCGATAAAAAGCAATAAGGTATTATACCTTTCGAATCTTATTATTACTTACGAAACCCTTAGCTATTTAGTTAAAAGGACCATTATACTCAAGACTCTTAAGCCTTTCGGAAAGACTAGACGATAAGATGTCGAGTATCTCATTTAACTTAAACGAGCTATTATACGCAAGGCTCGATAATAAGATTACGGCCCGAGCAATAGTAAAGGACTTCTTAAATGCGAAATGTAAAGGATTAAAAGATTACGATTTATAAAGCTTATTCCGGCACGCTTTCTTACGCTAAGATTAAACGAGTTTTACGATAACGAAGAATAATATAAAACGAAGCTTTAAGTTTGCTACTCTTATTAGCTTTAAAAAACACTTATTATCCAAAAGCGTATAATGCCTTTTAAAGCAAAAGAGCTACGCTAATAAGATGGTCAAGCTTTTAAACGACGAATAGCAATACTAATAAACCTTTTAAAAAATAAAAGAGCAATAAGTAATACTTTTAAGCTTCGATTCGAAGTAGACCGCCGAAAACCTTACGAACGACGAAGATAATACGCTTTAATTACCTTTACTATTTTTACGAAGTTTAAAAAGGAAAAAAAGGAAAAAAAGAAGAGATTCGAAGGTTACGCGAAGAGTTCGCGAAAAAAAAAAAAATATAAAGCAAAATATAAAAGTAATAGCAAAGCAAATAGCAGAATTACGGACTTACGTTATATAATCTAACGAAAGGCTACGACGAAGCACTTTAACGTATTTAACGCTTTTAATTTATTAATCGCTACGCAATACGCTAATCATTTAAAAAGAGCCAAAATCATTTTAGCGGCTTTCAAACCCTTTTCTTAAAAGCTATACTTAATTTTTTAAAAAGCTTAAGCTTAATAGCAATAATAACAAAGGTCTTAAGATTATCATCGGACTAGATAACATTCGAAGCTATAAAAGCTATACGTTAAAAGAGGACCCGTTAAAACCTAAAAGCATTTCGAACAAAATCAATTTTTATTAAAGATAGCGTATAGATTTCCGTGCTTAACTTTAGCAATTCGAAAAAAAGATCTAGCACTTTCGAACGTACCGGCAAGCTACTTATATCTCTTAAAAAGCTACGTATTAATAAAAGAGAAACTAAAAGTATAAAAATCGCTAAAAGCAAGCTTAAAGATACGGATATTATTAAGCTAAAGCTTTAGCCGATGATTCGAATAGCTTTAAAAATCTTAACGATAGTTAACGAAAAAAGAACGGAAAAGATTAGCAAAGAAATCGAAGCTACGAATACGGAAAAAGTAAGAACGGCCTTTTCGAGCTATTAAAAAGATTCGGTAACGGACTTTTAAAAGACTTCGGATCCGAAAATAAGCTTCTTAAAGACTTTAAAAGAATAAGACTTATAATCGGCAATTATATTAATAACCTTTTACCGATCCGATTATTAGCTAAGCACGATACGCTTGCGTACGGCATTTTAAGCGCTCTTAACGATAATAAAGACGATTTCCTTAAGCTAAAAGCAATAGACCTTTATTTAAAAGCGAAAGAATTAGCTTTATTCGCGCGAAGCTTTTTTAAAGAATTAAAGTACTTAAGACTCGACGACGACTTTAAAATTCAATTAAAGATTTTTGCTAATTAAGCAAGTCGATACGATTTAACTTCCGACGATTACTTAGCGGCGTTCTTAATTATGCTTACGAAAGAAGCTATAATCTTTTATTATAATTATATGATTAAGGCCAAGCTTTTTACGTTTAAAATAAACGTTATTATAATAAAAGATTATTTCGAAATTAATTATTAACGGTAAGCAAAATACGATCGTTAAAAAGAAATTTCGTTAGATTTAATTAAAAAAGAGAATGCAAAGACCTCGCTTAGCGAGTGCTTTAAAAAGCTCGCTAAAAAGCTTAAGAGCATTTAAAGCTTCTTACGACCAAGTTTAAAAGATGATCGAAGTCTTGCTAATAAGCTATATTTAGCTTATAAAAACGTGCTAAAAATTACGATTGTACGAATAAATCTTGCTTTTACTTTTATCGCGATAATTATTAATATTCGTCGAGCAATTGCTTTTGCAATTAAAACCTTTCGACCTTTCGCTAAAGCTAAAGCTTACGCGAGCTTTAGCGAGCTATACGATCACACCTGCTTTTATAACACCTTAAAAGCTGACTCCGATTTAAACGAAAAATACGAATGCTTTATTTAAAACCGCTAATACTTCGAAAGTAAAAAAGCTGCTAAAGCTATTAAAAGTAAAAAAAAGTGTTTTATTTGCAAAAAGCTAAGTTGCTAAAGCATTAATTACACTTTCGATAAAAGAAAGGCATCCGTCGCTAAGTTTTAAGCTTTTAAAAACGCAAAAAGGATGACGAAAAGCAAATTCTTTTAATACGTAGCATCGATTAAAAGCGTGCTATTTGTATCTACGAAAGAATTCGATTAGTTTATCGTAAGCTTATTAAATAAGCCGCTCGAATCGAGCAGCTACGCTAATATATCGAAAAGTTTTATAATTACTTACGGCACTTTTAACAATAACGAAATATATAAACAATTAAAAATTCAAACGGCATTCTACGCTTTTATTAGCTAAATCGAGACTTAAAACGTATCCGCGAGCAAAGCAAAGACTTATATAACTTTTAAGTACTTTAAAAACGTATTTATAAGCTTTATAATTGATAGCGGAGCAGCTAATTTCTTTACCGCTAGCTTGCTTTAACTACGAGCACTTTAAAAAAAGTACTTCGAGGTCTAATTGAATACATTTCGAGCAAAAAAGAAATCCGTTAAATACGGCATCGGCTTTGCTATCTTTATTAAAATAATTACCTTAGATACCTTTTTAAGTTAAATAAAGTTCTACGTTATAAAGAGCGACGTACTTTTCTTATTCTTATTAGCTAATATAAATAAGCATAAAGTGATCTTAAATAATTTACGAAACGTGCTAATCTAAAGAAAAAAAGAAATACTAATAATAAAGATATTTAAGCACGTATAGATATTATTAAATAAAAAGCACGCTGCTACTTATTATAATACCGAAAGCGAAACCGTTTATTACTATTTTATAAAAGAATAATTAAAGACTATTTATAAGCGTTTTAGCTACTTTTTAACAAGTCGATTTGCTGCTATTCTTAAAAAGACCGAGCACGAATTTAAGCGAGATTTGCTTTATAACATTCAAAAGTTTTGCTACTATTGCTAAGTATTCGAACGCTTTTCGAAAAGATTTAATATCAAACTCAAAGACGATATTAACTTTAATAATATAATATACGTAAACGTAATACACTTTAACGGCAAAAACATATTATACGTCGTTTGCGATTTTATTAATTTTCAAGCCGCTACTTTTTTTAAAAGCATATCCGCATAGCACTTACTTAAAAGATTCAATCGATATTAAGTTAATACTTACGTCGGACCCTTTATAAACGTAATGCACGATCTCGAAACTAACTTTAATTTAGCAACGTTCCGAAGCTATCTTAAAAGTATTAGCAGCACTTTAAAGCAGATGCTTATAAAAGCCTATTATAGCGTCGGGCTAATAGAACGCTATTACGTCTTTGTGCGACGCGCTTTTAAGATCGTTATAAAAGAGCTTTTAAAAGCTTTAAAAGAGGACCGGCTTCAAATAGCTATTAAAGCTATTAACGATATAATTAAACTTAATAGCTTGGTTTTTATACTCTTCGTTTTTAAGACTTTATCGAAGCTAACGAAACAAAATCGACTTGCTGCGTTTACTTAAAAGCGTGCTGCTATTATTAATAAAGCTATAAAGGAAGTACGAAAATGCTACGCTGCGAAGCAAGTTAAAGACGCGCTTAAAAAAAAGAATGGCCTAATTACGAAGTATACCTTAGACCTTTTTATTAGCTTACGGATGCTCGTATAGCGAGAAAACCAAAGGTAGAAAGGCTTTTTTTAATTGCTTAGCAAGCAAAAGCATACGTGCATAATAGCTTGTCCGAAGCTTACGAAATTCAAGTTAACCTTAATAAAACCTTACTACTTTAAAATTGAAAAGCTGCTAAAAGAGTTGCAAGTACTTAAAGCAAAAATAAAAGAAAAGGTAAAAGAAAAAGTAGAAGATAATTAAAGCGAAAGCGAAAAAAAGCTAAAAATACGAAATTCGCTTAAACTTTAATATTCGCTTAATCTATCGAAATCGCTTAATTTAAGAAGCTCGCTAAGACTAATAAACAGCCTTTTTAACCTTTAACTTGCTAATCCTTAAAAGTCAATAATACTAATAGTTTAAATACCTTATTAAAAGTACGATCTTAATATTGTAGAAGCACCCAAAAAGATGTGCTGTATAAAAGCCTGGCTCTAAGGCTGGACCTCATGGTCTCATAAAAGAGATGTCAGAAAAGGTAGGTAGAAAGCTCGTTGATTGTTTTAGCTAAAAGATGTGTGCCCTTTTATAGAAGATGGGTCCGTCTAGTATGGCCCTAGTGGCTATAGCAGGTACCCTATCAGGCAGGGTGTTTACATCCGTCCCCTTATAGAATAAGTAAGCGCCTCCGCCTACCATCAAGCAAAGAAGAAAAAAAGAGAGGTGTAGAAGAAAGAAAAATCTAGTGTACAAAAAAGGGGGGGTATCTTGTCTTTAAACTCTAAACATTCAAACATCTAAATTACGCTTTAGCAGCTTCTTTATAGTCTCTTTCCGTGCTTACGTCCTCGATTCTTTCGTTCTCTTTAAGCTGAGAGGGTCTTCTCCTTTTGGCAGGGCTAGCATTGGACGATGACGTGCTAGCAGCAGCATCCTTAAGGGTGAAGGAGCGCGTGTCGTTCTTGCGCTTGTTAGTAGCATTGTTGATAAGTATGAACTTGACCGACGGAAGGTCAGCGAAGCTAGAATAAGGTCCGGAGCCACTAGTTGAATCGTCCTTATCTTCGGGCAAGTCATCTAGGGCTTTCATAGCCTTATCGAATGCGCGGTCTGAAGATTCCGGCTGAGAAGAGGATCTTTTAAGGTTGCCGATTTAGCCCGTGAACCGTAGTTTACGGATGGATTTCGCACTTTCTAAAGTGATCTTTACACTTGAATCGGAATCGTTAAAAGACAACTTAATCGGTCGCAAGCTCTCTTCAAAATCTTTCAACTTATCGGCGTTTATAAGGTCGTTAGCTCGGCGGCTCTTGCTCTTAGAAAAGGATTTGGCTCCGTAAGTCTTGGCTTTAGCATCTAAAACGATAGCAAATCTTTTTTTAAATGCCGAAAACAACTTCTTTTTATGCTTAATAAAATGTTCTTAGAACTGGGTCCGGGATATAGCAAAGATAGCGGTCAATTCTTTTATTACTCGGGGTTCGTTCTAGTTTATTTTTCCGATTAAAGCTTTTGATACGAAACTGACGTAATCTAGCTAGATTATAGCGGCGAAGGGCTGGCTTGATTCATTGATGACTCTTTATCGAAAGGTTAGCGGCATGCGTTTTAAGACGATAGTGCAAGCGTACTTTGCAAAGCTGACTTCATTTTCTAAGGTGCTATCGTTTAGCAAAGCGGTGTAGTTATTAAAAAAGATAGCCTATCCGCAAAAGGAATCTTAGAAAGCGTTTATATTTAAGAAAACACTTTGTTTCGTGATAACGGATATAAAAGTGGCGAGATTATTAATTATAGCGAGAGGTTAGCGAGGCGCAATATTTTTAAGAGTATCCAAGGTCTTCGACTTAGGTTTAAAAGCTTTTTATCTAGCGGTCTTTCTAAAAGTAGTGTCGTAAGTGTAGCTTTTAGGCCAAATAGCTAAGCTTCCGATTTGATTCTTTACGCTGTAAAGTATTAAGTGGTAGTTTAAAACTCTGTCTTTTATTCGTGAACTACGGTTCACAGGTCGTTTAGTATTAACGTCGTGTTTGGTCGCAATTACTCGAGCATTATTATTGCATTCAAGGAGCTGAAAGGGTTTAAAGTAAGCAATAAGCTTATAGTTTCCGTCTCGGCGATTGAGTAAGGCGGCAAGGTACAGTTTATGATAGCTTCGGAGGACTTGCTAAGTCAGGGAATGCATTATATTAGAAAGTGTATTAGTCGAGGCTCCTTTTAAATCACTAGTCCGAAAGTAGTAGAGGTATATCTAGATCTTTTTGTTTATAATAGTAAAGAAGGTTTGGTTGCCGTGCTTATTGTTCAAGAAGGAAGCTCTTAATATAAGCCAAACTTTCGTATAGCCACCCGCATTTAAGGTGTTGAAGGAGCTATTCTTCTAAGCGGTGCCTATTAAGCTAATGCTCTAGTTCAGCTTGTTAAGGGACATCGGTTTAGCTTTGAACTTAGAAGAGCTTAAGCTAAACATTCTTTTAGCTAAAGTACTGCCTTTAGTCTTGGTAGCGAACATCGATTAGTTGCTCGAGTGAAGCATGAAGTTGTTGAGGGCGTTAGTTTAAAAGGCTTCGATAAATCGATATAAATTGGAACGGATCATTATTGTTGTAAAGCCTTTCGTAGCTAGCCTAAGATATTTAGCGTATTCGAAGGTATAGACTTCGTAAAAGACTCCTTTTGACAGGTCGGTGGCGGACGGTGAGACTTTGCGGCTGAAGCGGAGCTTTGTCTAAACGTCTAAATCAAAGAGTTCTTTAAATTTATCCTTAAATTCTAATACGTTTTTCACTTTTTAAAAGACCTTTGTGCAGTCGCAATCGTCGTCGTTAAGGCTTAAATTAGAGATCTCGGACAGCAAAAAGTAGTTTACTACTTTGCTTCTTTCCTTATTTACTTTTACTTGGCTACGACGGTCGAAGAGTCGTAAGATCGCGTTATCAGAAAATTCGTCTTTTAAAAGCTTGCGGATCTGGTTAATAGCCTTTTTAATTGATTCCGCGGCAACTTAAAAGGCATTGTCGATGTTCTCGTCTAGGTTCAAGCGGTCGAAGGCTGATTGGTAGAAGTCTTAGCAAAAGTTAATAAAAGCTACGTTTATACTTATAAAGTTTTTAATTTCGATAAGTCCGAAGCAGCGGTTCGATATAGCTTTAACTAGTTCGTACTCGAGGCTGTCTCTTTCTTTAACGGGTAGTGCTAGTAGCAGCTGGTTCTCGAGAGGGTCGCGTTGCACTTTAAGTCTAAGGGCTGGAAAAGAGCTCGCGTCGATGGACTTACGTAAAGTGGACATGATCGAAGCAATCAGTTTAGCGTTCGAAGGCTTATTAGCAAGGAATGACGTCGATCCTTGAGACAAGGCTAGTAATAGCGAAGGGCGCGCAATAAGTGATTTAAGCAAAAGGGTCTTAAGCGCAAAAGGTTAACTTAGTCCCGCCTCGGTTGCTAAGTCATCTTTCATTCGTGAACTATAGTTTACGAGTAAAATTTCGGATTCGAATTCTTTTTGCAAGACGAAATTCCAAGTCTGATTTTCGTCGGCAAACTCTATACGTTTTTCAAGCTCGTCGTATTCGCCTTTAATGTTATCGAAAGCCAAAATCAACAAGCTACATAATAAGACCTTTAGTTTTAGCTTCTTTAAAAGTCCTTCGTTAAGAATAGCGATCTTATCTTTTTACTTGGTATTGTTCTTGTCTTCTACGGTCTAGCAAGTGAGGTTGACTACCGTAGCATTGAGCTTAGTGAACTTGCGTCCTCGGGCTATATTAGCTGTAGTTTTCTAGAAGGCGACGTAAACAATAATGTAGTGGTTGATAACCTAGATAGCGTAAGCGTTAAAGGTATAGTTTTTTAGAATGACGCCCAGTTAGCGAGCGCTGCGGATTGAAGTGCATACAGCCTTAAGGTGGTCGTTATATAGCAATTGCTTTCGAGCGCCGTCGAAAGCTCTTTTGATTCGTTTGTGTCTTTCGGCGTTTTTGTTGCGTAAAGAGTAGATAGCGGTGACTTTAGTAGTAAATTGGTCGTAAGTTGAAAGGAGGTTTTCGGCGTTTATATTCTTTTTTGCGCATTCGGCTCGCAAGAACTAGTCGTATTGCAAGATCAAGTCGTCTTTTTTACTTAATCTGTTATTAAGGTCGGAGGTTGCTACTTTAAGCATAGTTAGTTGATTAGAGTTGCTCATTTAGCGGTAGGTCTAGAGGAACTCATCGAAGGTCTTGGTGACTCGTCTTTCGAACTTCAGTTCGAAATTCGATTATCGAGCTAGAGCGGCTTGCTCCTCGCTTATTAGTGGGCTAGAAAGTGCATCACGGACAAAGGCTTTTCTTTTAGCGGCGGTTGACTTAAGAAGCATATTTGACTCGTGAACCACGGTTTACGAGCTAAATATAAAATAGCGGAATAGAGCTGATAATAGTGGTGATTAACTGAGTGATAATTAAGGTCGTTAGTATTAGTATAGTATTGTGTAGTTGTAAAGAAAGGGTGGTGGTAGTATTATTATAGTTATTATTGTATAAAAAAAGAAAATGTTAAGAAGAAAGAGGGAGGAGCTTTCTTATATAAGTACATTTATAAGAAAGACTTATTTTTTCTAATAGCAGTTCACTTTCGAATACACGTGGTTAAGCACGCTTAAAACAAAGGAATAGTCTTAAATAAAAAATAAGAAATAGCCGTGTAAGCCCAAAACAAGTGAAAAAACAATTAAACAATAAGAACAATCTATATAGAACAAGTGAATAGCTAGTAAAGTGAAAGGAACAAAGAAAGAACAGAGAATACAATGAAAAGCAAGTCCAAAGGTGAAGGAATAAACGTAAAAAATACCTTTCCTTATCAAAATAAAGAGAGTGATCATTAGAAGCACGTCCTTTTATAGAATAAGTGTAGAATAAAGAGAGGATAAGAAAGTAGGAAAAACAAAGTAAAGGAACAGACTAGGAAACAGTTTTATAAGCCAATTTTTGTTCTTTCGAAAGTGTTAAGAGAATGATTTGGAAGTTAGTAGACTTAGGTCTCGAGATCATCCTTAGGTTAAGTGGTTCACTTTTGCCGTCGTCGGAAGGCTCGTATTCGCTAAGGTCCGAGTTGTCTAAAGAGTCCGAATCTTCTTCTTTTTCTTTTTCGTCGTCCTTATTAAAAGGAAAGAGGGTTTGATCGCGGCGGTAGAATCGTTTAAAGCGGTTGGCTGCAAAGGTGCTTTTGAGCTTAGTCTTATCGGTTTCTTAGAGTTTGTAATATCTTTTATCGTAAGCCTTAGAGACGATATAAAGTCTTAGCCACTTGTAGTCCAGTTTAGTATCCGCGGACATGTCGATGCTGCGTTTGACGTCGTAGAGCAGTACTAAGTCTTTTTCTTTGATAGGTTCCGACTTTAAGACCTTGACTCGTTCTTAAGTAGCTTTAGCGGCAAGTCGATGGCGTTTCTTTTTTAAGATGATCTCGTCGATATCTTTATTTCGAAGTTCTAATTGTCTGAACCTTATAGCAAGCAGGTCAGCGCGGGATCGAACTTTTTGCTAAAGTAATAATCTTTAGATTGGCTATCGTGATTTTAAAGGTAGCTTAGCTTCTCGTCCGTAGTTCAAAAAGAAAGGGATGACTCTAGTAGGTGCGTGTATCGATATCCGGACCGCAAAGAGCATCTTATTGAATTTGCGAACTTAATCCTTGAATCTTTCGTTTGTGACTTTCGATAAGCTATCTAAGATGTCCTTATAGCCTTTCTTAATCATTCTATTGGTTTTTGAATTGTAGCTTAAGATTTGGATCCTTTTGATCTCGTATTTAATAGCGAAGGCCTTAGCAACTGCTTTGTTTTCAAGTCTTTTATCGATAATCAGTCTTTCGAATAGTTTATAGCGGCAAACGATATCTTTTTAAAAAAACTTAGCAATGGATTCGGCGTTGGCCGATCGAAGTGGCCGCTTTTCCGGCTATTTAAATAGATCTTCTTTAGCTAGTACGAAGCAAGTCATTCCTTTGTCGGTGATAAGAACTCGTAACACGTTTAAGCTGATTTTTAACCACATTTAAGTAGGCTAAGTCGGGTATAAAAGGTTTTCTGTTCGTCCAGCTTTACGCTTTTAACAAGGCTTATAGCTTTGGACGAAGGCTTTATAGTCTTCGTAGCATTTATTCTAGAAGAAGAGTTTTGACGTACGGTAGTAGGTTGACTTAGCTCTTTTATATCCGGATTCTCGGTAGGCGTCGGAAATAGCAGTGTAGCGTTTTTAAGTTCCGTCGATAACCAGCTTAATCGAGTAAGAATTGTCTGCTCGCTTATAAAAGTAACTATCTTTAATTAAGTAGTTGAGTGCTTTATTTTTAAATTTCTAGAAGTCGTAGGTTTTGATCGAAGGAGAGCGTTTGAAGGTAATAAGAAATTAAGCAATGAGCTCGGAGTCGGGCGAATAGTCGTGCTTCAAAACTCTCTTTTTAGCTCGTGAACTATAGTTTACGAGTCGTTTAATCGAGAATATTGAAACAGTGTTTAGCTCGTTAGTAACTTAATCGTTAATATCTTTTTCCTTTTTTTCTTTAATGTTTAAAAGATGCTCTTTTCCTTTCTTAAAGAGACCGTCCGTTGCCGTGTTTTTAGTCCTAAAGATGTGCTTGACTTTAAAGTCTATTAATCTTATCTACGCAATCTAGTTCGTAACGAAGGCTTTAAGTAAATCGCTCGCTGATCCGTTGAGTTAATTAATTAGTACTTTAGCGTCGGTTTCTAAGATGAAGTGAACTTCGTATAATTCGCTTTTTATTTTTTTTATAGCTTTTAAAGCATCGCGGCATTCTCGCTTGGTCGCGTCGTATTTGCTTTCCGTAAGGTTCTAAAGACCATTTTCGAACTTAGCAAGATATCGCTTTTTGTCGGAATCCTTTTATTGCAATACTGTTCCTTATCTCTTAAGATTAGCGTCTACCGTCAAATAAATTTTCTTTCCGTCTTTATTATAATCGATCTTAATAAGAGCGAGGGCAGAAAGCAAGGTTTCTTTAAGCAGCCTTATCGCTTTCTGTTAAGGCTTTAACTACTCGAATTCGACTTCTTTTCTTATCGTCGCGTAAATTAAAGCAGCAATCGTAAAGAAGTTTTTGATTCAGATTCTGTAATAAACCACGATGCTAATAAAGGCTCGGGCTTCCGATACGTCTTCGCACTTAGTTTATTCCAGTATCTTTTTAATTTTAACGGTCTAGGGGTAGCGTCTTTCGCTATTTATAACAAATTTAACGATATTAAAGCCAGGCATGCAGTATTAGGATTTCGTTTCGACGGTCGTCTTAGCTTTTTTAAACCTTACGAGCATCTTATCGATATTTTAAATGTGCTTTAAAACGAATCGTCGAATTCCGAGCAAAACTTTTTCGTAATTATAAAAGAATCGCGATCCTTTAACTTTTACGTCATTTATATAAAGCAAGCAAACGTTAAAAATGTAGTTTATAAAGATCTTGTAGATGACCTTAACGAATTAAGCGATCGAATTAATAGCTTTTATAAGTATCCGAGTTATTCGAAGTAATCTGATAAGCGTTTAAATAGTTGTTATGTTTTTAAATTTAACGTCGAAAAGGAATTGATCGTATTTAAAAAAGAAATCTAAGAGTGTAGCTATCGTAAGACCGGCAAATTCGTTTGAGAACTAGTTTACGTTCGAAGCAATATTAGCGTCTTTGACCGTTATACAGTTCATTTTAATTACAGCAGTGATCAGCTTGTATTTTCTTTTTTCTTTCTTCGCTATAATGAACTACTTGTTCCGGTAAAGGCTTTAGTATGGTTCGAGGACCCTTTGCTTTAATCGTTCCTTTAGTATAAAGATGACTATCTTTTGCAGAGCTTTCGGTATCGTAAACGTCTTTTCTTGCTAGGCTTCGTAAAGCACCGTTTTAATCTTTTAAAGCGGCATAACTTCTTTTCGGACCTGGCCAAAATAAGTAAAATCTTAGGTTATCGCTTCTTTTCGATTTAAAAGGCATTAGTAAAGCAGCTCTTTCTTTTTCGAAGTGACTTAAGAGCTAATCGTAAGTGCTTCGAATCGTTTTTTCGTTAATCTTAATTCAACTTTTAAATTTGAAAACCTGCTAGTAAGGTATTCTGAAAAAGGTCTTCTAGGCTTAAGGGGTCTCGCTTTTTCATTTTGCTCGAATTAATCGTCGATCTTTTCAAGTATCTTTCTATCCGATACTCTTAAATCCATCGGTCTGACTTTCTTCGCCTTCCTTTTGTATATCGTATTAACCTCTATTACATTCTTTTTTAAAAGGTCTTTGTCGTTGTCGATAATAAACATAAAATTTTTTAATTTATCGAGTTTGATTGCAAATATTTTTAATGTTTTTGATTTTAATAAGCTTTGCTTAATATTAAGTTGAATTATTTTTTTGTGATTTTGTTGTTTTTATGCCGATTTACTTATGAACTATAATTTACGGGCGGAATTTCTTTTTAAGCTTTCCTTTAGCTTAGCATCTATCTTAGCTTGCATGCTAGCGATTAGTTTCTCGAGTCTTCGACCAAATCCGACTTATCTTTTGCAATAGTAATCTGGCTTTAGGTGGATCGATCGTAGTTTTAAAAAGAGGCTTTTATCGTGCTATTATCGGGGTAAGAAAAGGAGAGTTAGGATTCTAAGAAGAAAGGTATGCTTAAGATGACCTCGTGATTGTTATTATTGATGATAAAGAAATCGGCGTAGTTAGTAATTCCGCCGATAGTGACTTCGACGTCGTTTATTTACTTATTAAAGTTGTAAAGATCTTCGGACACGGTAGTATAGATTAAGGTTCGATCCGTCATGATAAGTAGTTTAGCTATTTTAGCCACCTCTTTGTTTATTACGTTGACCTTAGATCCGCTATCGAAGAAGGATCTGCTCTTGATTATACCGTCGATATTAATAAAAACTTTTAAGGTCTTCATCGCTACTTCGAAGCAGTTGCGAGCGATAAGTTGTTTGCGAATTTAAGTCGCTAAGAAGTCTAGCTTGCCTTTTTTATTCCGACTTAAACGTCTAACAGTTGAAGCGTTCACAAGAATAGGCTTACTTTAAAGGACCTTTACGTTTTTTTTAACATCGGAAACCATTGGAATGTAATAGCTTAATAGCTTGTCGAAGCGAAAGCTGAGTCCGAACAAGTCTTTAATTTAAACTTCGATTCTTGATTTTATAATCGCCGCTATTGCTTTTTCTTAAGCTTTAGTAGTAACGTAAAGGTTAATGAACTTTTCTCGTTTGTAAGTCCTTTTCTTTCTTTCTCTTAGCACTCGCTGAATGATCTTAACCTCTCCTTTTACATCCTCCATAGCTTCGTCGGCTTTAGCTAGTTTAAAAAGTCTAGAAGACTCTTTTTCAATTACACTATCGAACAACCCGTCCTTTGAGTTTATCTTTATAGCAATACCCGATTCTTAAAAAGCACGGGCCTTAAGGGTGCCGTAGTTCTTTTCCTTTTGTTGTCGGATATTCTTTTTGATCTTAATAGGCTTAGATCCTTCCGAAGCTAGGAGAGACTTCTTAGCTTTGTCCTTTGCGGCGGCGTTGATCTCGACCGAAGCAACTTTTATGCTGGATGGGTGGCTAAGCGTGTTGATCTATCTTATAGCATTGATATTTTTAATGTCGATTGGTCTTTTAAGAATAGTAGTAGGCTCTCTTGGCTGGTTGGTTGGTTGCTAAACATTTTGATCGGGCTGATACTAGGCTGGCTGTTAGATTGGTTGTTGATAAGAGAGTAAGTGTCTATAAGTCTTAGGTCCGCTAGTAAGCCGATTTTCTAAGATGTTATCGTATTCCGTTTTACGAACGTCTAGCACGATAGATTTGAACTAAGTCTTTCTTTGCTTCTTTTAGATAATAAGGGCACCGATCTTCTTAAGTCTTAAGCAAAGGCGTCCGTAATCATTAATGTGAATACATCTTTTATTAACTATATCTTTAAAAGCTTTACACTCATCCCGGTATTAATAAAGAGCTTGAGTTGTGTCTTCGGAGTTTTCGCAGAAGCTATAATCTTGCATCTAGCTCTCGTATCTTTTACTTCTTTTTTTTCTTCGTCTTTGTAGTTCGTAGCCGATAGCAGCAATCTGAACTCTTCTTTCGAGGCTGACTTTACTTCGAGCATCTTAAGCGGTATACTTAATAAAGGTTTCGTCGCGGTCTTCGAATCGAACTTAAGGTTGAGATTGAACAAAGCGTCGAGAAGTTGGGTTAGCGATTTGGTCTTCGAAGTAATCAATTCGACTATAGATTGCACTAATCTGCAAGTTAAAAAACTTCTTAATTATAAAACCTACTTTATCAATTTCTTCTTTTTTATTCGTGAACCGTGGTTCACGGGTGAACGGCACTACTACTAGGGCTTTCTTAGCAGACTTAAGAACGCTAGCTGGTTCGGTGTGTTCCTTGACCAAGGTCCGAATATCTTTAGTAAAGTTAGCTAAAAGAGACTTTTCTCGATTTATAGCTTCGATAGTCTTAGTACTTTAGTCGGTCTTAAAAGCGAATGCGGCGAAGTCGTCGAAAGCGGCATAAGAGTTTAAGTCGAGTTCGTCGACCTTGTAATGCTTGATTGTTTTGTTTCGGATTTCGACGAGCAATCCGAGAAGGAACAAGCGGCTTTATTCGGTCTTGCTTAAGAAGTGCATAGAAGTAAGCTTTTCGGAGACCCGAAAGAAGGTGCGACAATAGTTTTTCAAGTCGTTGATATCTCGTTCTTGTATAGCAAATTCCCGCAAGAAAGCGACCGAGTCCTTGATCTGCTAAGTATCGTTCTTACGAAACTCGGCTCTTAAGGCCTTGACGAAGGCAGCCTAATCTTTCTTAGCTTTTTATTCGGGCAAGCTTTTAATGACCTCTTTGCGAAGGTTATCGCAATAACGAAGGAGCTTGACAAACCGATCGTCTTTAAGGATACTAAAGTCATTACAAGTCTTTTCGTACTTTTCGATAAAGTCGATGATGTTAGCACTATTAAAGCAAGGAGCTCTTAGGGCATCTGGCAATGGCATGCGCGTAGTTATGAAGGCGTGAAAGATAGCAGGGTCGATTATAATTAGCGCAAGGCTTGATAGAAGGATAAGAGGAGCAAGAGGAGGAGGAGTGGTATAGATCTTAGGACCGGTGTTTATTTTAAAAAGCATTTCCGAGGCAAGTGTTTTCGATAGAAGTAGCGGTAAAGGTTTAGGTTGAAGGTCGAAGTAAGATAAGGATAGTCCGAAGCTTATAAGAATACGACTAAAGGATTTAATAAATTCAAAGGATTTTGACGAAGAGAGAGGTGACTTTGCGCCGACTTCGATATTAGAAATCTTAAGAAGGTTTTCGGTATTTTAAGGATCAAACATATGTATGTGTTAAGAAAGATCGGGTTAATGAAAGGTTTTTAAATTATTTAATTTTGACTCGTGAACCGGGTTCACGGTTAAAATAAGCGATTTTCGCAAAGTATTCTCGATCCGAGATTAGAAAGAGTAGACCTTTTGCAAAAGTAAACTAATAGTCAGGATTAAAACTATAAAAAACCTAAGAATCAATTAATTAGCTTCGCTAACAACTCCGGACCATGTTAATTGCTTTAATTTAAGATGAGAGCTAAGGTACGGAAGGATATTTTCATTAATGAGTGAAAATTCTTTTTTATTGACAATAGAAGAGAGTTTTTGCCGAGGAGCCGAAATATTACACTTCGGCTATTTCGGCGTTTCGGTGTCCGAACTTATCGGGAATAAGGTTTTGATTGTTTTGATGTTGTAGTTGTAGAATGAAGTGCTGAATGATAAACGAAGATCAACTTGACTGCGAATCAAGCGATTGTAATGAGTTGTATGAGGACAGAGACTAAAGGTTTGAATCCTTGCGTAGGTCACCAATGTAAAAGCACTTAAAAAGATGTGCTGTATAAAAGCCTGGCTCTGAGGCTGGACCTTATGGTCTTACAAAAGAGATGTCAGAAAAGGTAGATGGAAAGCTCGTTGATTGTTCTAGCTAAGAGATGTGTGCTCTCTTATAGAAGATGGGTCCGTCTAGTGTGGCCTTAGTGGCCATGGCAGGTACCCCATCAGGCAGGGTGTTTACAATATTACGATCGTATTCGATAAAAAAAAAAGCGATTCTTACGTTTTATTTATTAAAAACTCCGAGATATTAATTACCGATAAAGAACGCCGAAACTATAAGCTCTTAGCTAAGCTACGAGCCGAAAGAATTATTAAAAGCCTTAAAGCACTATTTTAAAAGTTTAAAGCAAAGGAATTAATTAGATTAATAGCTTAAAGCATCTTTTAAATAATCTCGAGCACCGACTTACGCGTTAAAAGCGCTAAGATCTTCGGATTTAAATTTATTAATAAAATCAAAAGCAAAGAAACATTTACGCTATACAAGAAGTCTCGTATAATAGTTTAAGCTTTTCAAGATAAAAGCAAAACGAAAATACTTATCGAATCACTTACGGTATAGCGAGCGGGCTAAAGACTTTGTTATGCTTTAGCTCTTTTTTTAATAAAAGATTACGAGTGTCAAGTTTATAACAAGGATATCATTTAAGCTTATATTTAATCAAGCACAAAGCTTATTCGAATAATCGTTATGCGATCACTTAAAGAGATCACTTATCGATTTCTTTTCGGCACTTTGTTTTTTATAACTAGCCTTTTATATAAGATCCTCGAAGCAAGAACGCATTAGTATAAGCGTTTTTTAAAGCATTTTACGAATAACTTCGAGATAAAGCAATCGAGCTTTAATTCTTGCTTTTTTATATTAATTAATAAGGATTAACTAAGAATAGCTGCTTTATAAACGGATGATATTCTTATAGTCGTTAATCCAGCTATAAAAGCAAAGAAAGAGAGAGAGCTGGTTAAATCTAAGCTAAAGAGCAAAAAAATAAAGACCTTTATACACGCCGAGCTAATGATTTTTAATAGATGCAAGCTATCTTTAAATAAAGAAAGGTTCGGACTATTAATTAAGCAAAAGGGGCAAGGTGAAAGGCTTGCAGTGATCAAGCTCGATTTAGCTATACGAGTTAAAGAATACTTAAAGCAACGTGCTCGAAGGGCGTATTTAGCTATTATTTGCTATCTAAAAGCATCTTGCGCTCTATCGATAGCCGCTCAGCATCAAGAACCGAAAGACGAAGATTACAAAGCCTTTAATAAGATGATCTAGTAGCTAATCGATCACCCAACTCGAAAGATCTATTACGTGCTCTTAGACTTAAAGACTGCGAAGCTTTTTGTATTCGTAGACGAAGCGTTTGCTAATAACGCTAACTTTAGCTCTTAAATCGGTTTCGTAGCTATCCTTAATAATAAGGCTTACGTAAATAAGAACGAGTTCACTTTAACGAATAACATCTTATATTAAGTGTTATAAAAGTGCAAAAAAGTGATAAGAATAGTATTAGCTTTTAAGCTATACGCGATATCCTTAAGTATCGATATAGCTATTGCTATATCGATTACTTTTGCTTAAATTACGGCTTAGCTAAAAATCCTTAACTTCTTCGTAGTCGTATGCACTAACTCTTACTCGCTTTACGAGTGCATAGTAAAACTAAGGACCATTAAAAAGAAGCGCTTAATGATCGATATTATAGCTATTCGAGAGTCATACGAAAAGCGAGAGCTTTTTAAAGTACGCTAGATCGGAAGCAAATCTAACCTTGCTAACGCCATAATTAAAATCGAAGCTAATATCTTTTTGCAAGAGCTAGTTTTGACCAATACCTTAAGGGTGCAAGTCGATAAATAAGTAAAAAGGCCGCTATAAAAAGAAAAAAGAGATTGTTTTTTTTTCCTTTATTTAATTACCTTCCTTCCTTTTTCGGTCGATATAATAATTGGCAAAGCACTATTTGCTAAAGAAAGAGTTGCCGGTGTCGGTATATCCATATCGACCTTAGCTAGTAGTAGTAGTAATAGTAGTAGTTAAGGAAGCTTATTCGTGAACTATGGTTCACGGGCCATTTAGCATGCCTCGCTTAGCATATTAGCAGTTAAGGGACCTTCAACTTGATAAGTAAACCTATTAGCTAGCTAGTGCACGTGATTCCTTCTAATAGTATAAAAGGAATCAGCTCCTTTAAGCCTTAGGGAGCAGACAGAATTCAAATACCTTATCAACCGAGTGTTTTGCAATTGCAAGTACTTTAACGACCGTTACGACCTTACGAATATATATTCCCAATCGCTTGGAAGCAATCCAACATTAAGAATATAATTGCAAAACACGTGTAAGATATAGTACGTTATTATTAGATCGATATATACTTAAGCCTTTTAGATGTAATCGTAATAAACGCTAGAATCAACTTGAGCTCTTAAGAGTTTAAACAATAAGCAAAATCGATAAATATTAAGATTAAAGTGGTCTTAGTAAAAGCTTATAATAGCGTCGGAAAAGTGGAGCGCTATTATAGCCTTCTTCGAAGAATATATAATATTTTAAAAGAAGAATTAATAAGTGAAGGAGTTGACAAGCATATAATACTTTAAATAGCTTTTAAAGCTATCAACGATATAGCCGGCCCCGGAGGTATTGTCTTTATATTGCTCGTATACAGCGCATACTTACGCCTTTTTAAGACAGATTCTTTAGCATTGTTTATAACGAAGAGACGAAAGGCCTTTCGAGCTGCAATTAAAAAGATTCGTCGATTATAAGCTAAAAGAAAAGTCAAGGACGCCTTAGCAATGCGAAATGAACTAAATACTTTAGAAACCCTTAACTTCTTTTTGCAATTAAACGTTAAAGTTTATAAAGAAGTAAAAGGTAAACCAAGTAAAGGCGAATGGACTGGACTTCATAAGCTAATTGCACGTGAAAACGAGACTTGCAAGGTACTCGTAAACGACCGCATTAGCGAATTCCGCTTAATAGTTGTTAAACCATATTATAAATCACTTTTAGACACGCCAAATATCGAAGAATCCTTGCTACGAACTGAAGCTGAACTACCACTAGTCCAGCTTATAAGACAACCTATTCTAGCTACTGGAATTGGATCACGTCCGCGCAAACCGAAAGGTAATTTGGCAATTCGCTATAGCCCTCGTCACCTCTTTGCAAATATAAAGGAGTTTAAAGATTTTGATAAGCAATTTCTTAATTACGAGAGTGATATTATTATAGTATTTTTTACTTATAAAGAAAAAGCTGATGTTGCGCTCTTTACGAAGCTTAGAAACGAAGGAGTTATTACTACGCTCGGCGAGCAATTCGTAGAATCACGCTTTTAAGAGTTAAAAGGCTTAATAAAAAAGGAGGTATTTGAGGTTATAGAATATAATTTTGCAGTTTACGGAATAAGCCGTATATTTAACTTTCGAATAGTCGATAAGGTTAAAGGCAAGAATACTTTCGAATTATACGAAAAATCACGCTTTATTATTTAAGCTTAAAGAGACGAAGGCAAGTATGATATTCTTACTTAATCTTCGATTATTTAGCGCAATAGCTAGCGTTTGATGATTTCCTTAGCCTTATTCTTAGAATCTTTTATTTAAGCAATAGTTTCTTTACGAGATATTATTTAAGCTTACGTATCGAGCTAGCGCTACTTCGAGCGTATGATTTTAGCGTATTTGCTTAAGGACTTTTAACACTTATATCTTTCGGGCTATATTTTATTAATTCGTAGACCTTTATACGGGATTGCGAAAGCAGGTACTTATTAGTAGGACACTTATTATAAATATTATAAAAATAAGCTATTTATAGTTTCTTTTATATACGACCTTTGTTTATTGATCTTTATAATTAGCAAATTCGCTATCATTGGAATGTAAATAGACGATACGCTAATAGTAGCTGATAAAGAGTTTAATAACTTGGAAGAGCAAGAGCTTAAGAAGGTTAATTTTAACGCTAAGTTAAAAGAGACGCTTATAATAAAAAACGAAGTGATATTTAATAGAAGAATATTAAAGAAGCTCGCTAATAGCTCGATTCTATTTAAGCAGAAGGACCAAAAGAAGAAGCTGGAGCTAGTTACCGAAAATGAAAACAACTACTTGAAGCAGCGAGCACGTGCAGCTTATATTGTAAGCTTGTATTAGCTCGAGGCTATTTTCGACTTATCTACCGCCGCGCAGATCTAGCAAAAGGACCTCACTTTAGACGATATCACTTTCTTAAATAAGAGAATTGCATAAATAATAGAAAACTAGCAACGAAGCTTAATATACTTTAATATCGATTTACGTTTAGCAAAGCTATTCGTATTTATAGACGGGAGTTTTGCTAATAATAAAGACTGCAGTTTATAAATTAATTTTCTAATCATTTTAGCAACCGAAGAGAAGTTTAATAGCTTTTTCTTTATTTAAGGGAACCTTATCGCTGCTAGTTTTACAAAATGCAAGCGAGTAACACGCTTAATACTTGCTTCGGAAATCTATAGCATAGTCTCCGGTGTGAATATTGCTATTTGCGTAGCTACTACTTTTAAAATGATTACTAATAAGCTAGAAATCTTCGAAGTTCTTATAATCGTTTATATCGACTTATATTCTCTTTACGAATGCCTTGTCAAGCTCGGAACTATTAAAAAAAAGCGCTTAATGATCGATATTATAGCTTTTAAGCAATCATACGAGCGCCGAGAGCTTGCAAAGGTTAAATGGATTAAGGGAAAGGATAATTTAGCCGACTTTATAACGAAAATCAACTTAAATAAGTCGTTAGCGACCTTTATTAATACGAATAAAGTTAACGTACGAGTCGAAAGGTGGGTGGAGAGAGCATAGGAAAGTCAAGCCGAATTTGGAAGGAACGGTGATAGTATTTTTTTACCGACAACGTTGGGAATGAAGGAGCTATTTTTACTTGTATTAGAATTGCAATTGCAATTGCAACTACTGCAATTGCAAAAGAGAAAATTGCGAGTGTAGGAATGAGGGGATCGGAGTTAAGGACTCGATCGGGGATAAGGTTGGCACGTGCACCCTTAGCATAGCAACCACCCACATGTAACTGCACCTCGCAGCTAGAATAGCTTCCTCCCTCCTTCAGACTTAATAACACCACGAATGCAACCACTTGCCATTCGTATCGAGTCTCACGTGTGCACCCTATTGTGTAACCAACAATAACTAATCGTGCTGTCGAAAACCGATTTATGAATGAAAAGGAAGGATAGATAGATGGACTCCCTTGAGCGTTAAATTAAATTAGCATGACGTTTTGTGTTGTTCGAGAATAGGTAGGTAAGTAACTAAAGAAGACTTCCTTCATCGCGGATAAGTAAAATGGAAGGAAAAAGATCAAGTCGGTGATTAAACGAGGGAGAGTAGGCAACTGTACGACATTGGATGAATGAGATGGACAGAGTTCAGAAAATGCAGGGTATTATTACTGCCACTTAGCAACGTTTGGCCGAGTTCCAGGTGAGGATATCAAAATATACGAAAATATCGTTCCATTCTCGAGGCATTTTTCGAAACTAAATCAGTCCACGCGCGATTCTCTCCAGATTCAAATCCAGATCCGGCCATCAAAGCTATTCGACGCTAGAACTCTTGAACCCATTTTACTCATAGATATTTACTCCTCAGCGCCTGGCTGATCGTGCTCATACGGCTAGCCATGCCGCCTCCGGCTTGCATATTGCTCGCAAGTGCCTCTTCCAGGGCGGATTGCGTGACAGAGGCGTCTATGAGGCTCGTCAGCACTTCTTGAATGCAGCTAGAGTTCTAATGAAACCTGGAGAGGAGAACGGTATAAAGAAAGGGTATAAGAGAAAAGATCTAAGACAAAGGAAAAGTCGAGGACCCACCATCCAGATCACTAAAACTGCTCCCCATACTCGGCGTCCCATCGCTCCCCTTCCCACTCGCCTTCTGGCCCGCCAGCTCGGCCGTCCGCCTCGGACTAAGCGGTCCGACAGGTCTGTCTCTCATGCCCTTCGCTACATCCTGTCTCCTGTACGCACCTGTAGCTGGCGTAGAACTAGCTGAAGAGTCGCTCGTTTGTGACATGACCCCGAGATCTTGCTTCCGTTTGCTAGCTGTGTGACTATGTCCGTGCGGTGTTTTCCTAGTGATGGTGCGCGGATCACCACGCAGGGTGGCAGAGGGATCTTGATGTGCTATTGGCATGAAGGCCGGTTCCTCGTCGTCGGAGTCGACAGGGTCCAGGCTTCCTTGGGCATCTTTCTTGGTGTATCGGGGACGGTTGCGGAGGAGGCGGGATTGGTGTGGGAGAGGGGAGTCGGAGCTGGAGGATGAGGACGGGGAGAGAGCAGGGGATGAGTCAACTGGTGGAGGGCGCGGCTTGTGTGCCGGTGACAAGGAACGTCTAACGGTAGTAGCTTGTTGCGGCCGCGGGCTCGTCTGCGGTTGAGGCAGGTTCCGCGACGTGGTGGTTGTATTCGCTGACGATGTCCTCGAGAACGGCGGCGCCATCGTGCGAATAGGCGTCGAAGGCTCATTTCTAGGTAACGGCGAGTCCTTTCTAGTCGAAAGAGCAGATGTTACTCGAGGGCCTTCAGCGTGTAAGCTCTTTGTTTGGGGCCGTGATATGTGTGGTACTGACCTCCGCCACCCGATCCCGTCCTCTTCATCCCTTCTCCGCCTGCAGATTCAGAGGTGTTCCACGGGACTGGAGAGGGTGCGGCAGAACCTTTCGATACGCCGACCTTGCGTATCTGGGCCCGTACTTGAACGAGCTGACGTTCGTAGAGCCATGCTGCTTGTTGGAGGAGGAACGCGAGGGTGACTTCGAATTTCGTGGCTCTGAGCTGTTAGAATAGCTCGCTGTTAGAGGATAGGCAGACTAACAGTTCATTCCCTGATGATGTTAGACAAATTTGCTTGATAGAAGCCAGAAAGACTTACAGTCTATGTCGCTATTCTTGGAAGCTTTGGAGAGGATCTTCCAGAGCGCTTTGTCTTTGGAGGCATCCCAATCAACCTGACGATTGGTTTCAGTCTGTGGAATGAGAATGTGAGGATTTTCTTACTGGTGGGGGGTCTACGAAGTCCCCACGGGAGAAGGGTAGGCGGATGAAGACGGTGTAGTATGGATCGGAACTCATTATTGCAGAAGACCTGGTTAATGATGGATGAATGGTGATCGTGGAGGCTGACGATGTACTCTGCAGGTCAGGATGATCACGCTAAGATAAGAGCTCGGCTGCGATAAGGATGGCGAAGGGGGCTTGCTTAAGCAACATATGCAAACCCTTGCATAGCTTGAAAGCGTTGATACATTGTCTCAGTAAGATATTGATTGTATACGCTGTGGATAAAATCTTATACTAGGTATGTGCTCCTCAACGAAGCGAAATACATGCCATGTTTGTCGCTTGCCAAGGTGAGTGAGCAAAAAAAGTTCTCTACACAACACAACAATCAAGCGCTCCCTCGCTAGGCATGGAATGGACAGACACCTCACCCTCGTAATCTAGGTATACAGCAGACCACTTGAAGAACGTTTGACTCAGGGTCAGCAGAGTAAATGATCTTGATTCTTCGTTTTCTAGGCTGCATTGGCAATATGCCGATCTCAACCCCCAGGCCCCTTCCGATGAACCTTTCTCATTTGCCAGCAAACTACGGGGTAAGTTTTCCGCGCGGTGAAGTATTCGTAGTATTAACGCTACATCAGTTTTATGTAGGAAATATATTTTAAATTATATGGACAAGATTTCAGCGTATGATATAATATATTTCTAGGCTTCAGCCCGGCCGTAACCGTAAGCTAAAACTTACGGCCCTTCGCAAGCTACGGGGTAAGTGTCCTGGCGCAGCCAGGTCGGCAACACCAACGCGGGACAGCTACTTTCCTCCTCATAAAATCGATAGAAAACTAATCAACGATCATATCGTGATCATTTTTGTATCAAAAGATGCACCGTACTAAGTTTAACAGCAAGAAAACTAAGGTAAGTCTAATTATATTTATTTGTCTTATTATTGTGATGGATTATTAAAGTAGTAAAAATCGTAGTTTCTGATGTTGCAGGCGGATATTGTTTTACTACGGAGTATGCGTATATATCAGAATAGCCGAGGAACATGAAAATCGGACTTCCTTTAAATCCTTTAAAAATCCATTTTCTACACGACCAGCTTCCATGTAAAAAACGATTCCCTTTTGTACTATTGTTAGGATAAACTGTTTCCAGTCGACCTACACTTCGCTTTTTAAATTGGAGTTGTGGTTGTTGAGATATTCGAGACAGACGAGTAAAATTTGATTACTTAGGACAGTTCTTGGCCATATTTTCACTACCGGTACATCGCATTGTTTTGACCTGCAATGAATAGAAGCATCTTTACATCTATGATGCACATTTTAATAGCAATTTTGAACATTTTAGCAGCAATGTATTCTAAGCATGTAGATGTTTTTTATCATGTTTTTATCAATAGTTGTGGTTCGACATGTGTTCTAATGAAAGTGTCCCGCCTTGGTGGTTCCGACTGGCAGGGCAAAGTCGGATCAATTCTACAAGAATCATTTACGTAGAATAAGGTAAGCGACGATTACGGGGTAAGGTTTCCGGACTTCGCGGTGTACGGAGTAATCCTTTCAATAGTAGCCTTTGCAGGCACCGCATAAACTCGACAAAGTGGCGCGCGAGGCTGCTAATAACGTCTAATCTCTGTTTCCCAACTGATCAGTGCATGAACCTCAAAATTACGCTGGAGCCATGATTAATACTCTCCCCCCCC